ATCATGGCAAGTCAGGAAAGTTAAATAACTTGTCCATGAATCATTCTATTGCTAAGTGGTAAAGATATAAATGTCTACTGCTTCAAAAAATAATTCCAGTAGATTCCAGTAACATTTCATCTTAAAGCAATAAATACAACATGCTGAAAACACTGCTGAGCATCTTGGATGAAATAGCATTATGATAGTGATTAATCAGTTCTATAAAGACTGCAGTTCCAGCAGTGTCCTCTGTTTTTTGATAGCTGCTACAATTATCAGCATACCTATCCCAAAGGGTACTCTGCACTTGAGTATTTTTTAGTGAGTAAAATTTCTTTTTAACCTAATGATGGAATCTTTCAAAAGATACCTTGATAAGAAACTACAGGGCCGGCCGAGTGGCTCAGTTGGTTAAGATCTTGCTCAAGAGTACAAGCTCTGAGCAACAGCAGTTCGATTCCCGGCCCAAGCTGAGCAGCCACTGAACTGCCAACAGGTGGCAGGACGGCTCAGCTTAANAGATATCTGCAAACAATACCTCCAATAAGGAGCTAATATCTAAAATGTATAAAGAACTCATACAACTCAACAACAAAAAAAGAAACAATCCAATTAAAAAATGGGCAGAGGACCTAAACAGATACTTCTCCCAAGAAGACATACAAATAGCCAACAGATGTATGAAAAAAGGCTCAACCTCATTAGCTATTAGGGAAATACACAACAGAACCACAATGAGATACCACCTCACACCTATTAGAATGGTTATCATCAACAGGGCTAGTAATAACAAGTGTTTGAGAGGCTGTGGAGAAAAAGGGACATTCTTACACTGCTGGTGGGAATGTAAATTAAATTGGTACAATCACTATGGAAAACAGTATGGAGGGTCTTCAAAACATGAAGAATAGAATTACCATAGGACCCAGCAATCCTTCTTCTGGGTATCTACCCCCAAAATTTGAAAACACTTATCCATAAAGATATATGTACCCCTATGTTCACTGCAGCATTATTCACGGTGGCCAAGACATGGAAACAACTGAAGTGACCTTCCATTGCTGACTGGATAAAGAAGATGTGTTATATATACACAGTGGACTATTACACAGCCATAAGAAAAGAAATACTGCCATTGGCACAACATGGATGCATCTTGAGATTATCATGCTAAGCAAAATAAGTCAGAAAAAGTTGAGAATCGTATGATTACACTCATGTAGAATATAAAACTGAACGCAACAAACAAGACAAACAAAAAACTCAGACACAGGTAACAGTTTAGTGGTTACCAGAGGGTAAGAGGGGAAGGGGGGTAGTAGAAGAGGGTAATGGGGGTCAAATATATGGTGATGGAAGGAGATCTGATTTTGAGTGGTAAACACATAAGGCTAGATAAAGATGACGTATTATAGAATTGTACACATGAAACTTACATAACTACATTAATCAATGTCAACCCAATAAATTTAACTTAATTTAAAAACCAGAGAAGTAGAGTATTTTTTAAATGACCTCAATCTTTTCTTCCCCATTACACTCAATGACATAGTATGAGAAAAATCTTAATTTTTTTAATTATGAAAAATTTCACATTCAAAAGAAATATATATGAATGACACAGGTGAGAAAAAGCAAAATAACCCAATATGCAGATAAAGAATTTGAACATTACCACCCTGATGTTCATTGCAGCATTATTCATGGTGGCCAAGAAAGACATGGAAACTAAGGTGTCCTTCGATAGATGACTGGATAAAGAAAATATGGAATATATACACAATGGAATATTACTCAGCCATAGAAAAGATGAAATACTTTCATTTGCAACAACATGGATGGACCTTAATATTATTATGCTAAGTGAGGTAAGTCAGAGCAAGTCAAGAACAATATGACTTCACTCATATGTGGGCTATAAAACTGAAAGAGACAAAGAAACAAAAACTCAGACACAGACAACAGTTTAGTGCTTACCAGAGGGTAAAGGGGGCAAGGGGATGGTAGAAGAGGGAAAAGGGGGTTAAATATATGGTGGTGTATTATAGAAATGTACACTTGAAACCTATACAATTTTACTAACCAATGTCACCCCCAATAAATTTAATTAAAAAAAAAAGAATGTGAACATTACCAATACTTTGGCATCTCCCATGTGCCTCTCCCCAGTCATATCCTCCTGAGAATATCCTGTTACAAATTTTGTGTTTGTCATTCTCTTCCCGTTAGTCTTTTACTACATATATGTGTTTTCCTACAAAAACATATTAAATTTTCTACTTTTTCAGATTTATATACATGGCATCAAGCCAGTATTGGTGACTTGGTTTTTTATTAAACATTATGTTTTTTATATTCATCCATGTTGCTATGTATAGCTGTCATTCATTTTGCCTATCAATTTTGTTATTACAAACAATTGAGTTTTAACATTCTTCTTGAACTTGTCTCCAGGATCTAATCTACGGTAGACTTTCTAGAACATGGATCATCTTCAACTTTAAAACTTAATGCCAAATTGTTTTCCAATAGGTTATACCAATTGTAGTAGCATAACTACTACCACTAGTAGTATGTTACTGTTGTTCTATATCTATAATAATACTGAGTACCGTCTGTCTAATTCCTATCACTAGTCCTCAACTTCATTCAGTTTCTCCTAAGCACTGCAGTGGAGTTAATACTACCATATAAGACTTTGTTCTCTATTCAAAAACTTTCAAAAATTCTTTACTATCTACTGATTAAATCATAAATCAGGCCTATTTAAATCCTCCACAATCTTTTCCAAACTTACCTGTAAACTATTCTCTATGATCCTTCTGTATTAATTCAATTGGATTATATTTTTACTTCAGTACCTTTACTCATGGCATTCCAGTTTCTTCTTCCTCACCTCTGCATGTCCAAATTCTACTGTCCTTTAAATTCCAAATCAAAAGCTATTTTCTTCTAAGAAAGCCACCTCTGATCTCCATTCCTGTGAATTACTATGACACTTTATCACTATATCCTTTTATGGGCTTACCAATTTTCTATCCTGTACAAAAGTAATTATCTATTATTAAATGTGCACTGTGTATAACATGATCTGATAAACACTTACATTATAATTGCTAATTTTCCTAACAGTACATGAAAGGCAGGGAATTTCATCCTAATGTAACATAGCTGATAAGCTGCAGAAGCTGTATTTTGTATTTTTACGTTTCTTTAATTTCAAAGACTTTCCCTTTCTACTATACTGTATTGTTCTATGGTTTTATTAGATCATTAATATTACTTAATCATTGAACTAAACATATATACCCAACTTTGTTCTACAAAAGTTTTGAGACACCTATTTGTTAAAATATATTAATATCATGCTTTCTATCCACAAATTATGAGATTATAAAAAAGAAGGTATGGACCACAAAGGGGAAAATTATAGTCAATTAAAAGGAAGGAAGCAAATATGCTAACCATAAATGTTAACATGGACTGTACATAAACTTTGATAATCAAGGCAAGACAGGAAAACATTACATTTAATTCAATGCCAGAAAAGAAGAAGCTCACAAGCAAGGATTTCCCACTACTATTAATAAGTTGAAAATAGATTTTCAAGTGGATTAATGTTAGTGTTATTTATTAACCAATCTTATTGCTGCATTGGAGTAAAAAATTCTTAAGGGTCTAACTTCTCTTGTGTCCTATAAAACAATACAATAGGTGTATAATTTGTTCAATGATTGAATTTATCAGTCTTAGGAAACAGAGATAACATCCACTGAAGAGAATAAAAGAATGGGAAATGGACTTTTAGAGTTTGGAACAGCCATTGTAGGAAGTCAGAAAGAGATGAATTAAAAGCCTGTTAAGCAGTCTGGTGATTATGAATAATGAGGATATGGTAAAAGTTACATAGTATTGATTTTCAGAATAGAACATTACCACTGTTTAAAAATATATATATATTCCAGCAACACCTGGCAGCCCAGGAATTAAATTAGAATAAAGAAGGATAGACAATTCTGTGAGAGCCAATGCTGTGTACTGGGAGGCAGGGAATAAGAGAAAATCAAGGAAGTAAGGGGAAAGTGTTCATGGGGATATTAATCAAATTACTTATGACACGTTTCAGGCTGGGAGAAGTTATTGATGGATTGGAGGTCAATACATAGTAAAGAACACATTCATAGTTTAAGGGGAAGTAAGATAGAAGAAGGGGTTGTGGTGAAAAAAATGCAGATTTATAGGTCTCTATAAGATTTAAATTATATATATATATATATATATATATTTTAAATGTGAATACCACTTAGCTTGTGGGCTTTATAAAAACAGACTGCTGACTAGGTCTAACTCGTGGACTATGGTTTGCAACCCCTGGTCTACAACCCCTGGTCTACAGCATAAAATTCTAACTTAGTTTCACATAAAAATACCTTTGTAATCTAAATGCCATCTGTTTCTCTGGTCATGTTATCACACACTCATTTAACTCTACATTCTTAGATGCAGAATTTTTCAGTTTGCTGAATATTCAGTCTAATTAGGGCCTTTCCTAACTCTGGGCCTTTGTCGTAGGCTTTCTCCACTTCTCAGCTATTCATCATTCAAAATCAACCCCAAATGTCACTTTTTCACATATCTTTCACAATTCATCTGAGTGACCTATTACTTTTTCTATTAGAAACCTCTTTTTTATTGTTATCTCTTAAAGCCTTCATCATGCTGAATGACAATCTCTTTACAGGTCTACCTCCTCTGATCCCTACCACTCTGAGTGTCTTAGGGAAGGACAGTCTTATTCATCTTGGTATTCCTACTCCCCTACACTGGAGCCTAACAGTACTTCAATAAATATTCATCAATGAATGAAGTACTCCACACTTTTTAATATAAATATTTACGACTAAGACAAATCCTAAAACTGTAACTTAATAGAATAATTAAATTTCACTGCTTATGTTTTTTTAAAAAGAAAAATTGTATTTTAGTTTCACTGTGATTGAATTTTCTATTTTACATGCCTGGTTGTGTTCATGAGCAGCGCAATTATCTGTTCCATTATATTCTGTAAGCTGTTCTCTTCTTTTTTCTCTAATAAGAATTTTATGAACATCATCTTCCAGTCTATTGAAGAATCCTCCATCATGTGATAAAGTCTGAGAAGAACTCAATTCCTGTCAAAAATGAATTATAATTTACTATCATTCAACACAAAAGTATATGCATTTAATAAACCCAGTCAGCCACTAGAAGGGTAGAGAATAAAAGAAAAATGATAGACAACCAACCATCTAATTCTTCTCTACCTCCAGAAGATAAACAGTAGAG